ATAAATAAAATCAAAGAAAAAAATAAATTGTTTTTCTGTTTGTTTGTTTTTGTTAATTTTATGTTTTAGATGAAGATTACTATTCATTGGGGTAGAGTTTTTGGTCTTTTTATTGCAATTATAGTTGGTTTTATTGCTATTATATGTTTTAAATTAATAAATAAATCAAATCAATTTCATAATGCAGATATTGGTCAATGTGATATGCATGAAGCTCAAAAGATTATTGATAATCTTGTATGTTTTTCTTTTGTCTTTTAAACTTATTAGTATCTAATACAGAAAAAAAAGAAGTTTTGAAATAGAAACTGTTTGACGAGATCTAAAAATGGAAAATATAAGCATTTAGTCTCAGATTCAGGTTGAAATTTTAATTTTGATTAAGTTTCATGTTTTAACTCTTTTTTATTTATTACATATTGTGACTATAGTCATATAGATGCTACGATCTGTTACAATATTTTTTTCTATGGCTGTGACGTATTTCTTATTTTTTGTTTGAGTAATTACATATGTATAGTATAGCAATTTAATTTGTTGTTCTTAGTCGTATAGAGATTGATTTACACACTGAAAACTCTTTAACGATGGCGTTGAGCATGAGAACTATCAAGTGAGAACTGGTCAGAAAAATAAATATACTTATAGATACTAACACAACTTATCAAAGTTGATACTTAGTTAAAGAACTTTATACATTATATTAAGAATGCAAAGAAAAACAGAGAAGTCGACAGAAAAACGAAGATGAATATGTTGATATCAATATAGAAGAACACAATAACATTGAATAGCTTTTATTAAACAGAAATATCGGGAACAGCACTTCTCATCTCAGTGATTAGAGTACTTGATCGATATTAAGTGTGTTACTATTATGTATAAATCTGTTGTTATTTATGTAAAACATGATATAAATTTGTAGAATTTATGTCAGACTGTTTTTGCACAAATATGTTCTTTCAACTTTGTTATAAGTTCAATTTCGTGATCTGTTAGTAATATTATATCATCTTTTAGTCTATAGTATCCTCGAGCAAGCATTCAGCTATGATTATAAAACGATAAAAATTCTTTTCAGGAGAAGTGTTTATAAAAAAGTCATTTCTCAATCGGAATTTGAGAATAATCGATTATTGTTTATTTAATACTTCATCTAATCCTTCTAGCTATTATGATAAATATAAAAATTCTCGAAAGCTTCTATTAGATTAATTGCCATTCCTATATTTTACATGTTGATATGAGAGCATCTGAATTAATTTGAATATTTTAGTGTGAATTATATTCTCTCAGTCAAGTAACTGGTTCTCATTGTTCAGCATTATGTAATATAAATTCAACATTAACATTAGCTCAATGTTTATCATTATCTCAATCAAAAATAGTATTACTTATGTCAACAAATACATCATCTTATGTTGTATTAAAATCTACACGTCGTTATTTTGATAAGCATCGTACAGATTTATTATTTCATGAACCAATTGTATCAATACCATCAGCTTTGTTAACATTTTATGATATAATTAATTCAACATTAGATAGACATATGAGTATTTCAACAGATAATATGAAACATGAAGATTTAATACGTCGTCTATTTCGTTATGATCATATTGAAAATTCAATAATTTTATTAGATAAATTTGAAGAAGTTATTGTTAAATATAATGATTATTATGAACATAATCTTGCATTGTCATTAACAACAGAACTTAATACACTTTATTCATTAATAACACAACATGAATTTTTACTTTCACATTATTATCGTTCAAAACATGAATTAATGCCAACAATTATTGGTTGGTGTGGTCATATGTATATAACAGAACATTTAACACCACTTGATCATCCAATGATTGAAGAACAGTTAAATTCTGAAACATGGATACCTAAAGCTTGGTTAACTAATCGTTTACTTCAACTTATTGATAGTTTTGATAATGAACTTCATGCTCCACTTCATTTATGTGATCTTCGTAAGTAGAATTATCGTTTGATTTTCTGTATGAGATACATTATTTGCGAGATCAAGAGATTTGTCTTTAAAAAAACCATGATTATCTATTCTGATTGAATAATTTGGAAGATTCGTTTAATCATATTTTCTGTATAGAAAAATAGAAATTGTTAAATTTTTCAACAGGGGAATACCAATATCTTTCCATCTCTTTTGAGAACTTTTGTATGAATTGATTTAACAGGCTTGCGAACCAACACAACAGATCATATTGTAAAAGTAGCGGCCAATTATGACTTGATTATTATAAAATAATCGACAAAAAGTATTTTTCATCTTCAAAACGACTATCACATTCATGACAGAACATTCCGAGTTGTTTTTGAGCTGATAGTTTGTCCATAAGTAGGCTTTGGAAAACCTCCAAATGGTTGCTATTCATAGACGTTTCTTGTCGAGATTTGAATTGTTCGTTTGAGTATTTTCTATGCATTGGAAGATAATGGTAAATGACTTTTAAAACATAGGCAGCTATAAATCCTTTTGAGCGTGAACTTAATAGTAACTAAATTATATTAGAAATTCAAACTTTTTCCAGTAATAAAGTTTCTATTAGAACATACACTATTTAGTAATATGATAAATGCTTGTATTGTGTGAGAAAATCATTATGGGATCTCATTAAATTCACTCTGAAAAAGATTTACGATCTCCTAAATCATTTGCACTTACTTTCATGTGCATGGGAAAATACTCGAACAATCAAAATCTCGTCATCGAACGCTCGTGAGCATAAATCCTCTGAAAGATTTCCAAGACCTGCATTAGACAAAATACCAGCTGAACAGGATGAAGAAACCTGGCAATGTTCCTTCGTCAAGCTAAATAATTTCTTTCTTATAATTTAAAGTATGTGTTTTCATTTTCTTCTTTTTTTTAGAATTATCTAATTTTGGTATAAATGAAAATGGTAATGTTAAACCACTTGATTTAGATATGGTTTATTTTGATCGTTTAATTCCATTAAGTCCTGCAATAAAATGTCGTAAACATTCTGATTGTTCATTTTTTGATTGTTCAGGTTATTGTGATAAACGTAAACATCGATGTCATGTTAATCGTCGTATAAATAATAATTTACAAGTTTTATGTGAAAAAATCCTTATAAATTTATTAAAATCTGATACAATTCCATTACGATTACATGATGTACTTTTATCGTATGTTAAACAATGTTCATCACCATCAGGTCGTTATAAACGATCGAAAGAATTAAAAGTTGGTGCACCATCACGTTTACTTCGCTTAATGCAAGTTATGCTTATTGGTGAATTAAGATCTGCTAATATCACTTCATCTTTATTTTAAAAATACAAAAGAAAATGACACAATAGAATGTTTGTTTTTTCGTAGTAGTGCAATTAAAATTAGATTTGTTAATTACGTATGAGAATTTGGTTTTTTGTTTTTGCAGTGACCGATATATCATTCCATAATTTGTTTCTTTTTTCCCTGTCAGATAAATTGTATACATTCCCTCTTTTTTAGATAAAAAGAAAAAAACTAATGGCCGATGAAGGTGGAGAACGGTTTGAAATCGAACGTATTGTTGATAAACGTTATCGAAATGATCGTGTAGAATATCTTATCAAATGGCGAGGTTATCCAGATAGTCAAAATACATGGGAACCTTGTAAGTAAACAAAAAAAAATTCATAAATTAATTTTAATTTTAATTTTAAATTTATTATTTATTTTTTAAATAGCAAATAATATTGAAGGTGATGAAGAATCAGAATTACTTGCTGAATATGAAGCATATACTAAACGTCAACAACAAAAACTATATAATTCCGGAATACGACCAACAATGAATACTCTATCACCAAATAAACGTCGACATGTAATATTATAGAAAAAAAAAGATAACAAAAATCGTTTTTTTTTAATATTTAGGATGAAATAATGAACACGAATTTAAAAAAACGACCATTAACAACAGGTAATATGCAATCATCAAATACTCCGACGGGTTTTGAACGAGGATTTGAAGCTGAAAAAGTCTTAGGTGCAACAGATTCTGCTGGTGAACTAATGTTACTTGTTAAATGGCGTCATTCAAATGAGGCTGATCTCGTTCCAGCACGTATTGTAAATGTAAAATGTCCAGCACTTGTTATAGATTTCTATGAACAACATTCATTTTGGACTCGATTACCAAAATTAAATCAAACTAGTGGATCTACAGCACGATGAATTCAACGTTGACATAGTTTTTTTTTGTACATTTATGTTTGTGTTTCATTGAAAGCAAAAAAGCAGAGAGAAGTAAACGATACTGGTCATAATTTGTCAAAAATATGTTTAATCTATTTTTGGACTTTTTACTATCTGAAACAAAAATTTTACTTATGATAAAGATACTAAGTAAATATATATATATATATATATTTAATCTGTCTTTGGTTAAAATAAAAAAAAATATAATCTGCTAGAAAAATATTGACTTGTTAGTTTTTCATTAAGTAGCAAATTTTTCATTTGAAAAAAGTGCTTGATGTTGATGATAAACACCAGATGTTGGAAAAATAAAAATCATTTGTATGAGGCATGACTTGCTTGAATAAGAAGATATGAGATTACTCATTGAAAGTTTCTTGCTGCTTGCATTTGCTATGAAATGTATGTGTTTGACTCATTTTTGACAAGTTATTTTTTTTTTTGAAAAAGTACATCACCTTGAGTATTTGTCCATGCATATTGACGAGGTTATACAACTCATAAAATAACTTCTATCGTTTCTATTATTTACCTCAATACGAATTCACTCAAAAGGTTTTTTTTTCTTCTTTCCTTTTTCGTTTTTCGATGGCATAATAACGGGTTACGCCTGTCGTTATTTTTTCCAATTTCGAACAGTTCGCTTGTTTGAGAAGAAAAAAAAAGAAGTAAAGAATATACTTTCAACCTTTGAGTGATTAATAGAAGGGCATATAACATTCAACTCAAACTTCGTTTGCTCTCACAACAAATAATGGCTGCTGGTGGTGCCAATAATTCTTCATCGGAAATCAATGTGGTCATCATTGGAGAAACAGGCACTGGTAGGAATTAAACTATAGAAGATACATTTCAAAGATCCAAAATCAATGTTGTATTCGAACACATTCTCTCTTATCATTACTGACTGTCAAAATAATAAATCTTGAAGAACTCTCATTCTGATCATAAATTTCCTTGTTAGATTAGTGTCTTTCAAGTTAAACTGCTAGTTATAATCTAGGCATTGTATGCAAAATGTAAAGACTCTACCATTAATCTCTTCGTTTTACTAGTAATCAACCTGTCTAATTCAATAGAAAAACCTTGCAAAAAAAATTGTATTCTGGTTATTCATTGTTTATAGTACAAGTCATGACTTCTATTGCTTGACATTTTTGTTAATTTCTATCAGAACTAATAGTGCATATATACAAGTTTTTTTTTGTAATGATTCATAAGGTTATCTTAAATAGAAAAATAGGCAAGTTCGAGATAAAAGAAAAGGCTTCAAATTTAATTATTCTTAGGTAAATCAACATTTATTAATTATTTAACAAATCTATTTCATAATGGTTCATTAACAAATCTTAAAGTAGCTATACCAACACGTTATTTAAAAGCCAATATGCCATCTATCATGCCTCAACATCATGAAGCTTCTTTAGATGATGGTACACGTAGTAAAACAAGTAAATGTATAAAATATACATTTATTGTTGAACAAGTTCATTTTAATTTTTTTGATACACCTGGTATAAATGATACAGGTGGTTATCTATCTGATAATGAAAACGTTGATCGAATATTTGAGTGTATTCAAACATTACAACATTTAACAGCTCTTGTACTTGTTCTAAATGGTACACAGGCACGTTTAACAATTAATATACGAAATGTTCTTGAACGTTTTCGTGACCGTATACCTGATGTAATTTATACAAATGTAATTGTTATATTAACAAATTGTGCATCACATACAGTTAATTTTGGTTCAGTTAAATTATTAAATCATGCACCTGTATTTCATATGCAAAATTCAGCCTTTTCATCTGATGCTCACACATGGACACCTAAAACACGTGAAATATTACAACGTGATTGGAATGTATCAATGCAAACAATGAATGATTTTATTAAAACTTTATTAACATTAACACCTATTTCAACTGAATCATTATCAGCAATGAACGATGATCGAAATGCTATACGTAGTGTGTTACACGAAAGCCGTCTCATGATTATGGAATTACAACATATTGAAGATGAATTAACTGCACTCGAGCAAGCATCAAATATTTATTCATCTAATATTGAAAAATATGCATCGAGTAGTGGTCAATCAACAAAATCCATTCAGGCAAGTATATAAATAAATAAATAAAGAAGAAGAAGAAGAGCACCGTAACTTTTGGCTACCTTGAGCTATAGGATACTGCCCGAAGATAGTTTCATTAGTTCGATGTCTTTCTTACGACTGTTACTAACTATAGCTCTGGACACAAGGTCAGTCTTACTCAAAGTTTATTTGTTCAATTATGTCGGTTTCTCATACACACATTAGCTAATCACATATATTAGCCACAAGAATCAGTGTGCTATCAAACAAATAATCTGAGGCAAACAGCCATTCTCGAGTTGCTCAAAATCATTTTGCTGTTGGTAATGCTAAGAGTCGAACATGGAACTTTAGGGATATTCTTGCGACAAAGTAATCATTCAATCATCATAATTAAATTAATAAAATAAAAAATAACAATAATAATAATATATTCAAATTTAATATAAAATGTATTTTAGGTCAATGAAATAACTGTAACTTCATATCACAATACACTATGTTTAAAATGTAATACAGTTTGTCATGAACGATGTTCATTAACAGAAACAACACGAGTTGGTGAACGTGTTTTTCGACGTTGTACAGTTATTGTTAATGGTCGATGTACGGTATGTGCTGGTAAATGCTCCTATGATATACATTATCATGATCGACGTATTATTAAAAGTGTTCCAAGAACATTAAAAGTAGCTATATCATCTATGGCAAATAAATATACAGAAGCACGAAAAGATAAAGCAGCTTGTGAAACAAAATGTGAAACTGTTCAAGAAACAAAACGTGTCATTGAGCAATCATTACAAGAACAATTTATTAAAGTACGTGATGCATGTTTGCGTGTAAAAAGTAATTGTCAAGGCTTTAATGTAGCTGAAGAATTATGTATATTTGTTAATTTTCTTAAAAATGATATGAGTTCATTACGATCACCATCAGTTATGAGAAAAGCATCAAAATTTGTTGAAAAACTTGAAACACTTGCAGATGATTTACAACATGATGATTCTTTAATATCTATAATTGAACCACCATCAACATTAGCAATACATCCACCAACGTCACCTTCACCTGCTGCTAAACGAAAAACGACCAACAATAATAATAATAATAGTAATAATACTTATAATTATAATCATAAACAATCTTTAAAAGCAACTCAATTACAACCAACATCAACAGTAGTGAGTAGCATAAATATTATCTAAAGTTAGCTAATAGGTTTGTATTTATGATCAAATAATAGAATGATGATTTGATTTTACTTAATTCATCACCTACTTCATCTTTAATCGCGCAAGTTGATCATATTCTAAGTGGTTCATTTAGTTCGTTAAATGTAGTTGGTGATATTCCATCAACCGATGATGATGAACAACAGAGGAAAAAAGTATCAACAGTTGCTATATCGGATTCATTTCTACGCAGTCAACCTATTCAACAGCAACAACCACTATTAGAGTTAAACAATAGTCGTAAATATGCTGAATATTCAACTGAACGTCTTGTTGCTTTAAGTCGTGAATCAACTGAAGAATACAAATTAATTGCAAAAGAATTGAATCGACGATGTGGCGGTACATCAATTGGTTATTTAACACCAGCACAGCTATCTATATTGTGTGAATATTATGCATCATCTCGAATGTTACAAATGGATGAACTTACTCGTGTACATTCGCAACTTCAATTAGATGTACAACAATTAACTGATCATGATCCATTCGAAATACTTTCTGTACCAACAGATAAGCTATTACATTTAGCTGCTGTTTCACTTTGTTTACAAAATGCTAATAAATACCAATAAGAATTCTTATCATTGTTTTTTTTGTGTTTTTTGCTCTTATATTTTAGATTATCGTTTTGGCTTATATGCGAACTTCATGACAAGTAATCCTATAATGGCAGCTGCATATCAAGTGAAAGAAACAATATCGAATGCAATGGGTCGTCTTGGTGTTGGTGGTAATCAAAATACAATGAAGAATAATGAAAATAATGATACACGTCATCTTTCACTTGATACATCAAATATAGCGAAAGTATTAGTGATTGGTGAAACAGGCAGTGGTAAATCAACATTTATTAATTATTTAACAAATTATTTTCGTGGTGGTTCATTACAAAATGTTAAAGTTGCTATACCATCAAAATATCGTCCAATTATTACAGAACAATTTTCACATTGTGAAAATAATATAAGAGATACTACACAATCAAAAACGGATATGTGTAATCAATATATTTTTGTTGATACTGCAAGTCCTGCTCAAAGACAATATCTTTTTCTTGATACACCTGGTCTATCAGATACGCGCGGGGCTGAACAAGATAATATCAATATGAACAAAATTATCGATGGAGTAAGTTTCATATCGGATCAAAACATAATACCACTTATCATTATGCTATTTTAGGTTGAATCATTAGGTGGACTATCAGCAGTGATCATCGTTGTCAATGGTACAACGGGTCGTCTTACATTGAATCTTCGTAATGTGATAGCACGTCTTCGTGGTAATTTACCTGATGTTGTTATGGATAATGTTATTGTGGTTTTGACTAATGCTAAACGACATGAAGCTAATTTTAATATATCATCTCTTCAATTACATGGTACTGTTTATCCATATTATATGCAAAATTCAGCGTTTTCACAAGATCCAAATACATGGGATCAAGCAGCTCTTGATGCATTACAATTTGATTGGGATGCATCAATGGATGAATTAAAACGAATGATTGAAACAATTGATACATTTAAAACAAAATCTGTTACAGCATTTAAAGATATGAAAGATATACGTAATGCAATAAAAGCATTAATGCATGAAGCACGATTAGAAGTTTCACGAATACAGAAAATGCAAGATGAATTAGCTGCATTTGAGCATGCACTTAAACAATGCAAAACGGATGAAGTAACATACAAAGATTATACACGTGAACGAATAGTTGAAACAAAAGAATTAGTTGATACAAGATATCATTCAAGTAAGTATATGAATGAAAATCATTCAGTTTACATCCGTTATAAATGTTTATTCTAATAAAAAAAATTGAATTCATATACCCTGTATAACAAAATTATTCGATACGGTTTGTTTTCTACTATTTTTCACTGCCTCATGTGCCAGAAAGAATCCAAATAGAGACTCAAATAGTGAGAATTGTTTTCAACAAGTTTAATAGGAGTATCACGATTACTATCAGATTTTCAAGGACAAAGTCTCCAGAAAACCGAAACCATAATTTTTCATCATACACTATGTGAAAATATAATTATTTTTGGACTACATAGAATGACAGAATAAGTAATTCTCTACAAAATGAGATGCTTGCGACTTTTCTGCGATGTGTTTTAGCTCACATAAAGCAATTTAATTGAAAGTCTAAAAATGATTGTTCTAGAAGAAACAATAAAAAACGAATGTTGGGGCTTCTACATTATTGCTATATCTGACTCAAAAAAGATCGTAAAAAAACTCGGAAACATCTTATTTCATAGAGAATTATTTGTTATGTTAGTGTATGCTATCCAAATAAACCTATATGTACACATTCGGGATGTTTAAAAACTAGGGCTTGGAGTTTCTGAAGATCTTCTCTTTGGGAATGTGATAATAGTTGTTATTTTCTTATAATTTTGTTCGAAACAATTTTCTCTACTTGAACGACTATTTGTATTCTTTCTAAAGCTGCAGACAACGGAAAAAATGTTGCAAATAAATCCTGTTGAATAATTTTGATATCCACTGTATGTATCATTACGATATTGTATTTTGTGTTTATAATAGCTGTCTGTCGTAAATGTGATCATGTTTGTCATGATAAATGTGGTCTTCATGAAACAACCACATATGGAAATCGTATATTTCAACGGTGTTGGGCTATGTCACCTGAAGGTCAATGTTATATGTGTCCGGGTCATTGCCTCTATACAGAACATTATCATGCACGTAAAACCATGAAAATTAAGCAACAAAAATTACAAGATGTACTTCATGATATCAAAGCAAAATATGATTTAGCAACACGTAATACAGCTGATTTTCAATCACGTATAACAACAACACAAGATGCAAAAAAAATGTTGGAACGTGCACTAAAACAAAAATTAGAAGAAATAAAGCATAAATGTGCTGAATTAAGACGAATATGTAGTGGTTTTAATTTAGCTCAAGAACTACATGCACTTATTGATCAACTTAAAGCTGAAGCAGTTATGCTAAGAAATATTGAAGCTAAACAACAAGCTGAAGAATTTATTCGTAGTTTAAGTGAATTTTGTCGACAGCTAGAAGCTGATCAAATTGCAAAACAAGTTTTACCACCAATGCGTCTTGTTGATACATATACATCAAAACCATTTCGTTCATCAATAACATCAACATCAACAATAGTATCTCCATCTCCAGCATCACCATCAGAAAATACACCCAATTTAAATACAAGTGTGCTTGATTTAATAACGAGATTAAATAAACCTAAAAAACCATTACCACCAGCATCTGATGAAGATGATAATGATGATGATGAAAATAGTGAAAATGATGATGAGAATGAACATACACGTGAAGTACTATCAACATCATCACGTTCTAGTCGTACTCTTCATCAAACAGATAATTATAATAATCATGATGATGAAACAGGTTCAATAAATGATCGTCGAAAACGACGCCAATTACCAATAAATACTAATAATAATTCTTTACAACAACAATATGCTGCATTAACTACAACAGAACTTGTTCAACGATATACAGATTGTAAAGATGCGCGAAAATCAAATGCAATTTTAATTGAACTTAATCGTCGTTCACAAGGTAAATCAACAGGTCCACTTGTTTCACCAACTGATATTGGTACATTTGCACGTTATACACAATTATATGGTTCTCAAGATGCACCAACATTAAGTCATTTATATTTACAACTTCAACAAAGAATTTCAAATATGACTGAACCTGATATACTTAATATTAGTCGTGTACCTGGTGATCTTTTACTTGAAATTTCTGCTATTTATACACTTATTGCACAAAAAAATCAACAACAACAACAAGGTCAAAACACTGATGGAAATTTTGCTAATGAATCTGCATTTGAACGACCACCTGATCATATAGCATCTTCAATGATGATGAAAATGTCAACACCAACATCTCAAACATCTATGGGATTTTTTTCACCTCCTGTTAGTCATCATCCAGGTGGAGCAACAACAACAACAACATCAACAACACCTAATACTTTTTTTAAACCGATTCAACCAATCAATATGAATAATACTAATATTCAACCAACTTCTTTACAAACACCGATCTTTTCTTCACCGACGTCGTTTCTTTTACCAACATCTTTGACACAACAGCAGCAGCAGCAACAACAACAACAACCACAACAACAGCAATCTTCTCTTTCATTCGCAGGTTTTACAGGTATGATTTAGAATCGTGCATGAATACGGGTTTTCGTCCCCAGATTAGAACCAGAACTAATTGACATTTGGCAGGTACTTGCATAGCCATAGTACAATTTTCAAACTTTTATTTTATATGAAAAAGCATACTATTTAGTTTCTTATACAAACAGCAACAGAAAAAAATGAGATCATTTCAAGTTTCACTAAAAAGCAAGTGAATTCAGAAGATTCACTGGTTGTCTTTCTGTTTCCAAAATCCAGTCGATTTCGATAAGTATACGTTTACTTGTTGCTGATGATTCTGGAATAGAACGCAATGTGTTGTTGCCAAATGCCATATTTGTGGATGCATATATAAATGCTTTTTCAATCAGGATATACATGTTCACGTCTCTGATAAACGAATTCGTGTACTAGAACAATATCTATTTTCACTTCTGTGATCTTTCGTCAAGTACAATAAATTGTTCAATCATGTTCGAATCGTTTTTCACTCCTATACTTTTATATAACTTAGCAGATTCGCGGGTCGGATCCCAGGTATGAGATCATACTTGAAATCTGATCTAACAAGTTTGCGCCTGAACTCATGCTCGAGTGGGGCTAGGTGTTGGATACTTGATCCAGCTGTGGGACACTACTTTGAATACATTATATGTTTCTTTTGAACAGGATAATTAATTTTATATCTATCTATAGGGTATCATACTGGTAGTGGAGATGGCAATAATATTTCTTCACAATTTCAATTTCAAAAACCACCTCCACCACCACCTCCATCTTTTGTTCCATCACCACCATCATCATCATCATCATCAACTACTATGATGCCAATCTCAACAACAATACGATCTGATCGATCCGTAACTGATTCACCGTTTACATTTGTTTCTCCACCATCATCAAATGTTCTTGATTCAACATTTACATTTGTTACACCGACAACAACAACAGCAGCAACAACAAATAAAGATGATTATACTATGGTAAATATAGCACCATCACCAAATATAATAAGTGATGATGATATAACTAATGGTAATACATTAGCAACCATAGATATAACATACTTGTTAACATTATATAACGATGCAAAATTATCAAATAAAAATGCGCAATTATTTGCTATTTATCAAGAATTAGAACGTCGCTGTACAGGTGCTAATTGTAATCTATTAACAAAAGATTATCCTGTTGTTTATGAAACAAAATTGAATGAACATGCACATAAAACATTATCTGAATTAAAACAAACTTATTCAAATATACAACAACAAATACATATACGAACAAATAATGATGCAACACATATTAATGATGTGCCTAAAGAATTAATTATTGAATCAGCTGCACTTTTAGCAACTATTAAACAAAAAGAAACATACATTTAACTAACTTTATATAAATTGATTATTTGTTTTTCTTTTTCTGTTTCACAATATCAGTTTATTCTCGTGTGTATGTTTCATCCTTTCTCTCTTAATATTCTTTGAATAAAATCATCAATGCTTAATAAGTTAAAAATAATCATGTTGTCCTTGTTTTTTTTACAAATCAGTTCAAAATTGTGTATGAAGCACTGATTTTCTCGCTTTTTAAAAACAGTTCATTTCTATTAGAACTATTGAAATCGTGATAAATGCATATGATGATAACTTGAGATCGAATCCTTCACAAACAACATGAGAATTATTTTATTTGATAGATTGTTTTATTTACGAAAAATTTTCAATGCTTTCCACTACTTAATTATATTTTTTTCTGAACAAAGTAGAAAATTTTCTTCATTTATTTTTTTTTGGTCGGGTATTTTTAACTTCTAGAACAAATTTTATTCTAGCCAATTGTTTTTCTATTTATTTGAAAGAGCATATGAAAATGCAGTGCTTGCCAGAGCACACTGTTTTAATTTAACTTTCTCATTAATATATAAAAAAGCACTTCTCTAAATAAATGACTATTTTTTTAAGAGCTTTTCAAAGCATGAAACTTGACATTCTTGTTCTCCGAAAAAAAACATTAAGAACTTAAAAGAAAAAGCACACAGCCAGGCACTGCAACCTGACATGCTCTGTCAAGTAAAAACATAATTAAATATATAGAATCAGCCCTCAAAGAGAATGTTGCATTGCCAAATGAGCTACTTTTAAATCTTATTTCATGAATATCTCGAAAATATTATACTACAGGACTGAAACTTTTAGCGTAACTTTTCTACTACAGCACTAACATAGCCTGAAATTTTCATTCAATTAGAACATACGTGATCCAAGATTGTGTTTACAGGGTGAAAAGAACGAGCTTAATTATCAACCGACAGACAAAATAAATATTATAATAAATGAAATAGTTCTATGAGTCTTTGTCATATGATAAAGATCAGCAAAGAAGTCTCAAATAAATGCAGTATAGAAAACATAAGTAATCTTCGAATAATGAAATCGAGTAAAATTCAAGAACATAAAATTATGGTCATCATGGATATGATATTATGTAGCTTAGTTATTAATACACACATATTTACAGAATCGACCTTCTTCATTACATTAATAAAAACAAAGAAATAGAATGAGCATATTGTAGCTTGACATACCCTGACTAAAAGGGCGTATAAATAACATTAGTTGATTGAAATATTAAAGATGAATGATAGACAGTGATGGTCAATATCATATTTAGTACAATAATAATTTAGAAAAATTTCTATCATTAATCTTATGTTTACTCTCTTAAATTGAAATGTTTTCCATGATAAAAATATTTTTGTTAGTATACAATAATTATGACAAAAAAAAGCAATACACTAGGATTAATCCATATTTACTAATTACCAACCATATGACATTTAACATTAAAATAATACAATGAAAATTAGTATTAATAAGTTATTGTATTATTATTATTATTATTTTTTGTATATTTTATAATATCACCAGAAATAATATTTATAGAGCAACACAAAAAAGCAAATATCAAGAGAGACTTGATCTATAAACATATTGTCAATGATAAAGATTTCTCGTTAATCTTGTTCTTTGTAGTTCCTGAGTACGTCGTTCTCGTCTTGCTATTGGTGTTTCACCAATTTTCAATAATTGTTGTTGTGATCCAGCATTTGTTTGACTCAATGAACTATGTAATAAACCACTCGCACCAGTTGGATCTATTTATACATTAAAACAAAAACAAAAATTCTTGTTTACATCCAATAGAATAATTTCACTGTTACCTTGTGAGAATGATAAACTACTACCTTGTATTGGTGGTAAAATCAAACGTTGTTCTGGTGGACGATTTTGACCGGTTGGTCTAAAGAGAAATTTTGATTTAATTTACAGTAGATAATAAATTCTTAATAATCAAAGCAAGCAAGTGTATATGTGTAGAGCAACGAAGTAATGTAAAATGTCAATGATGATCTATGTGATACCTCGATACGATGAACTGAGGCGGCGAGAGATTAAGACGACGAAGAGGCAATTCACTGTTTAGGTATATTAATTCTGGTCATTTTATTATTATAAATGAAAGAGAATAGAAAAGAAAACTACATACTGTCGAAATGACAAATTTTTTCCAACAGTTGATGATGAAGTAATAGATCGCTGTTGTTGTTGCTGTTGATGACTTCCGATATTATATAATGTATCAGTAGGTGTTGTTGATATTGAATTTTCACTAATACTTGTTGATGCTAAACAATCCCGAACAAGTATTTTCGATGTTGAACTTAATCGTTCAGCATGAAGTATTTCACGTAATACAGCTCGTAATCTTGCGATCTAAAAATGTTTATTTACTATTTGTTTGTATTCATATTAGGGAAAAAAAACAATACGTTTATTGTTATTAAAAACAACCAAAAAAGACCTGTTAACACAATGCTTGCACGATTATAATGTGAAACACAATATAGTTGTTGTTGCTAATTAGAGGGTTATTGTTTTATTCTGTCTACTTTGGGATACATTCCTTATTATTTTATCTTCCAGAAATGTGATCAAGAAGTAATTTACATATTAGGATGAAATTTTATGTTATACAATCTGTGATCGTATATTAAAGTACGTGACGACCTTCATGAGGCTAGAAGTGGTGACCGGGAAGTGAATAGAGCGAAACCAACTGTGATTTGAGCTCTACCAAAATATATGACCCGTCACCAGGCTGTCTCTCCTTCACTCCTATTTACTTTGTAATAACATTTTTAGCTTATTTTTATTTCACTCTCTGCTAGAGCAAGACAAATGATGTTTCAATGTCTGGTGGCTGTCTAAAATTATCGCAAAGCTATTACTAAGGTGTCTAGTAAGATCTGTGGGGAGAAGATTCAAACTTTTGCCTCTATACTTGAATACTCTTTTCAGATTGTGTTTCACAAAAAAAAAAACTTTTATTAAGAAAATAATGATTAATAAATTACTTCGAGTGCTTGTTGTCGTTGTTTTTCATACGAAACTTGAAGTAAATGTTGATAGTCAGCATCATTCATTTGAGTCTTTTCTGATTTGGTAACTTTATTATCATCATTATTATTATCGATGGACTTTGTTCTATTAACATCAGATGATATACTTAAATAAAACGCAAAATTATTTTTCATATAGGAATTTTTATTTATGTATTGTGTTTAAATTACTTTGGATCTGGTAATAGAACTGGTACAACTGATGAAGATGATGCCTGTGGTGATTGAACAGATGATTTTTTATTTAATTCATCAATAGTACGCATTAAATATTCATTTTTTTGTTCAGTTTCAATTAATCGTGTTTGAAGTTCATCAATTTGTTGTTCAAAATGAAGACGTTGCACCTCTTGTAGACGTTTTTCTGATTTAAAACAAATAAATTATATTAAAATCACTGAAAAATATCACTTCGAAAAACAAAAAAATTCAATGTCGTGCAAAAGAATAGTGAACAAAAGAAATTATTCCAGATGCGATGGCAAATGAAATCTATTTATCATACCACCAGACTCTGTTATGATTGATTCTATAATTGAAAATAATTAATTTTGAAATTCGCGTTCAAGAAAATTATTTGAAAAAAAAACAAAAAAGTTTTCTTTTCTAAATTCATACCAAGAGTGGGTTCATTTAGTGAAATATTAGCTAATTGTTGAAAATTTGGTACTATATCAGTTTTACGTTGTTTATTTCCAGATGACGATGATGGACGAATATCAATCATACGAAAATGAAGGTCTAAAATACAATTTTTCTTTTTCTATTTATTTTATGTATATTTTACCTCGATTTTCTTCTTGAAGTCGACTTATTTCATTATGTAAATCATTTAGAGTTATTTCATGTTGCTGTTGAACATAACGAAGATTTCGTTCAAGTAATTCAACACGCGAACGTGGATCAACCATAAGTGTTGGGGATGGTGTTGTTGATGGTGTTATTATTCTTGTTTCATCACCCGTTGGTAATAAGGATGAATTTTTTCGAATGATAATACGTGATGCAACAGGAGCTGGTATACGACGGGATGTTGGTTTAGACATATCACCATCACTATCGCCAGGTGACTGAAGTGTATGGTGATGAAGAGCTGATACGCGCTCATCAACAAGCGTCTGTCGAATCATCTAATATATATCATTAAAATATCAATAAAATAAACTTAAGTCTAAAGTAAACAAGTACAATGCAGTGTAAATTAACTGACAGAACAACCATAAACTGCTGAATATGTCATGGAAATCGTAGAGAATATATGTGAAAATAAAGATGGCGCCAGATTCTGTGCAACATAGATGAACAAAATCAATGAGATAAATTCTTTCGATTTCTTGCCAACACTTTGCGACCATATGTAGAAAATATTTTTATGAATAAAAATAAAACTCATAGAATTGACTAGTAAAGCAATATATATGCTGAAGCGTATGCATCAAGAAGATTTATTAAAATTTTCATGCTTCAATAACGGCAGCGGGATACTTAATGATAATTGATAATCATTCCAACAAATGTTTAACATTTATAATCGTAAACAGAATAGATGACAAATGATCTTAAAACTGAAATATCTTACGAGGGTCCGTTCCCGACTGTTATATTGCTTTTTGCTTGAAACTATTACCATTTCATCGACCATAATAAGTAGTGAAAAATTCTACTTTAGTTTGGTTTTTCTATCTTCGCATGTCGAGTTAGGGTAGTTTTACTCGACTTTTATCCAATGATCAAACTTTCGACAGAAATTTTATCCATAGATGATACGCATTCAGGATACCAATAACTCTTCACAGTTTGAGACAGAACAAATATATCCTTATCAAGATATCATCTTGTCATGAAAATGTCATTCTTTTGAAACACAACCGACAACAGTCGTTTCTTTAAAATGCGAATCCCACGGAACGAATGCGTTCGTTTTGATTCAAACTTTGATCGGCTTCTGGTGACTACACGGCATATCCCTGAATGAGATCTCGGTGATCGTACGCTCATAAGACAATAATCGAAGAAATGCCCATAAATCGACGAGCAAAACTCGAAAAACCAAATCAAAACAGACTTTAAGACTACTCATGACGATTGCTTGAAGAGTGATGCTTCCAAAAGCGATGTGACACTTGAGACAGACTGCTTCCATCACAAAAATACTATCTATAAGTAAAGATTGCTAGCTCTATGTACTCTCTTGCACATATATGTACATTACGAATTAGAAAATCATTGCACTATTGATTCTACCCGAAGTCTCTCTCGTCTCTTCCTTACACTATATTATAAAAAAGTTTCATTTACTTTAACTGACTGATACTTTGACCAGTAGTCGAGGCAACTATGGTAAAATTATCTTCAATAGCTATACAGCAGAATATTTCTATCGAGAGGTGTAACTCCATCGGCTGAGCCGCTACCACTGACATTGTCGTATTAGTGACGCGGGAGATGTTTCAAAATACTATCCCGAAAGCTTCTTTTTAAGGAGATTGATAAATTACATGGATCTGATGGATTCAATCTAACTGCACTAATTTAAAAATAGTGACGAAAAAGATTTTCGAAGAATTTCTCGAAATCACCTAGACAAGAGTAAATTTTCAGCGATGCCGCCTCTGGAACATAAAAATAGATACCAGACCTTTGAAAAATTTCGATATTTAGGATCAGTTCTCAGAAATGTTATTGTCTAGTTTCTTGCTATCATGCTCTCTTGTTTTCATTCCAAAGTTTAACGGAACTAAGAACAATATTAGTAAAAGCACCGAAAACTTTTAGTCACCACCACACCCCGATGAATACATCTGCTAATACTTCTATTTAAATTAGATTCTTGCTAACTTATAATTCACAAGAGAGTCTCTACTGTGGGCATAGTTTCAAGTAATAAATCGATTTTGAGTTCGTACTATATACATAAGCTAGACTTTTGTGCAGTATGAAAAACTCCAAAAGGATAAGTGCCCTTATTCCGTTCCTTTAGACCTATTTCGAATTTACTGTAAGTTTAAAATATGGCATGGTATCGATAAACAAAACAAATAATTTTGTTTCTACCTGACATTTCATTCATAGACACGTTTACTTGTGACCAAGATACTTCGCTCATACATAATATAACGATGATTTATTCTTTTAATACATAGTGTCATTGACAACTAACGACAACTATATCTAAGTCAGTTTTACTTTCTTTTCTGATTGGTTTTACATATAATAAAAGACAGAAAGAACTGAAATTACGTTCGTTCACAGTACATTTATATTTCACATTCACATTTCTGATATAGAAAAATGTTAAAATCAGAAGTTACTCGTGTTTCTGGTCCGTCAACATCATCAAAACGATATCGTCGTTCTCCAACTCCATCATCAGAATCAAATGATGATGACGATGATTATGATAGTGAAAATGAACAAAAACAAAACAAAGATGATGAAGAAGAAGGTGAAGTACGACCAAAATCAACGTCAAATCTTCCTCCAACACAAAAAACACCTGCTGCACCACCACGTACTGGTGGTCTATACATGCCACCTGCGAAACTTCGTCTATTACAGGTAAAATTGTTTCACATCATCAACATGGATGTATATTCTTTCTTTTTCTTGAATTAGGCATCATTAACTGATAAATCGACACCTGAATATCAACGTATAGCATGGGAAGCTTTAAAAAAAACTATTAATGGACGAGTTAATAAAGTTAATACATCAAATTTAGCATTAATTATTCGTGAATTATTTAAAGATAATATTGTTCGTGGTCGTGGTTTACTTGCACGTGGTATTATACAAGCACAAATGGCATCACCATTTTATACATCTGTCTATGCAGCATTAGTTTCGGTTATTAATACAAAATTTCCACAAATTGGTGAATTAATTGCTAAACGTCTTATATCATCGTTTCGTCGAACATATCAACGAAATGATAAAATTAATTGTTTAGCAGCAACAAAATTCATTGCACATCTTGTTAATCAAAATGTTGTATGTAATCTTTAAAAAATAAATAAATAATTCTACTAATTTGTTTTTATTTTTCTATTTAGTTACATGAAATAGTTGCATTACAAATGCTTGTACTTTTACTTGAAAATCCATCAGATGATAGTGTTGAATTAGCTATTGGTTTTTTAAAAGAATGTGGACAAAAATTATCCCAAGTTAGTCCACGTGGATTAGATTCAGTATTTTCAACATTAAGAAATTTACTTCATGAATCATCATTAGATAAACGTACACAATATATGATTGAAGTTTTATTTGCTGTACGAAAAGATCAATTTAAAGCTAATCCAGCTACTCCATCTGGTCTTGATTTAGTTGATGAAAATGATCAATATACACATATGCTTACATTAGAAGATCCATGTGAACCTGAACCAATGCTTGGTAATGATATATATGTCGAATAAAAAAATGATTTATTTTGTTTGTTTTTTTTTTCATTTAGATGTATTTAAACATGATCCAGAATATGAAGAAAATGAAAGAAAATATAAAGAAATTCGAAAAACAATTCTAGATGAAAGTAGTGATGATGAAGATGCATCAAGTTCTGATTCATCTGATAGTGATGAAGAAAATGATGGAAAAAAAGATGATGTTGATGAAGAAGAACAAGAAGGTGATCAAGCTGGAAGTAAGTAGAAATTTCTTTTGTTTAAGAAAACTGAAATAATTTCGAAATTATAGCATTTACTAAAGAGGGAACTTATTGAAGTGATTCATCCTTGATAAGTTTATGTTTCAGGCATATAGAGGAAACTTCTAAAAAATCAGAAGTTTTCTTTTTTTTTTACATGGAGTATTTCAAGATAGAGACAAGCATATTGACTAAAATACTTTAGAATATAGGACTCATCGACAATTTTTCTGCTAAAAGTTTATTCTATAGTAGGAGTCCAGCAAAACTGTCGTAACTCTATAGACAAAACTGATGGATTTGAATCCTTTCAGGGAGTTATTGAAGCCCAGAATCCTACTCTATGTAGCCAAAAATGAAGTTGACAACTTTGCGAAGTTCATTATTATGTCTGCTCATGGATAGTTTTGTTTTGACTCTTCTATCAGGTACATGCTGCATTCTCAACAAAGAAAAAGACTTTTTTCACGATGAGTCATCAACAAAAGCTTTCATCTTGTTTAAAATTACAAAAAAAGGATATGTTACTCAATGTTCAAAAAAAAATATCTATTAATTGTTTAAAGTGTACCTATGAAGATCTCATTGTCCGAATCTGAAATATTTTATTCTAGTTTGAAAAAAAAAGGAGTCTCTCCTAGATTTCATAGCATCTACTTCAGCTGATAAATGATTATTGTTAAATATTCATTTAATGCGTAAATCAATTTTCTTCTAAAACTAACAATCGAGATTGAATTATTTATCCTAAAATTTGATACATCTCAATGAACGAATGTTTTCATCCGTTTTTACGTTGAAGAACATTCATTTTCTGTCAATATGAAAAGCCTTAGTATCACCAACCATGAAATGGCTTTAGACTCATCACTAAAGACTATTTGTCTCGGATTAATCGTCCGATACCAAGCTGGCTAATTTGTGAGATACATCTGCTCTTGGAGTTAGTATATAGTCAGTCAGCATGTACAGGAAACTTAAGCGATTAAGTACAAGAACCTTTGTATTAGATTGACCTTCTGCCTAGTTTTTTTTTTAAATCATGCGAACTGAATATAATGTAAATTTGAAACTTTTTATTTTCTTATAGAAGAAAAACAAGAAACAATTATCGATCAAACAGAAACAAATTTAGTAACACTTCGTCGTACAATTTATTTAACAATTCAATCAAGTATTGGTGCTGAAGAATGTGCACATAAATTACTTAAAATGAATTTACGTCCTGGTCAAGAAGTATGTTATCTTTATTTATTTAAAAATATTTAATTAGTTTATTTTAATTTAATTATTAGATGGAATTATGTCAAATGATACTTGATAGTTGTGCACAACAGCGTACATATGAACGTTTTTTTGGTTTACTTGGACAACGTTTTTGTTTATTAAAAAAAGAATATATTGAATGTTTTGAAAAAGTTTTTCAAGATCAATATGAAATTGTTCATCGTCTTGAAAATGTTAAATTAAGAAATGTTGCAA